CAACAACAACAACAACAACACCGATATCCTGCTTTACCTGTTGCCAATATTCCTCCAGGGACGGCAAGGCCGAGAAGTAGCCCGTGTCGTGCACAATCTGCAGTTCCTGGAAGATGCTGCACATGGGGAGCACATCCATGTCTCAAGTTGCAACAACAAAGTCCGTGCTGGCGGCCGCGGACACGGACAGCTGCCTCCTGTGTGCGGGGCTCGAGGGGTGTGTGCGGGGGGTGTCAGCCCTCTGCTCTCAGTCTCCAAGCCCCCCCCCTTCCTCCAGAGAAGAAAAAAAAATTGTATATATATATATATATACAAATAGATAGAAATTAATTCCTTAGCGACCTTAGGGAGGAAAAAAGACCCGAAGTTTCATGCAAAGTTTAATTGCACAGCAAAGCAGGACGTCTCCCGAGGCGGCCGCTCTCCCCTCCCGCGGCCGGCGGCGGACACTTGCTCAGGAGCGGGCTCAATATTTGCAAACACGGCGCTGGCTGCAAATGTAACCCCCTGCAAAACTTCCCTATTCAAAGCTGCGCCCGGCCGCTCCGCCGCCCCCGCCCCCGCGCCCTCCCCCGCCCCGCGTGATCCCATGACGCCGCCCGCCGGCGCGGCCCAATCTCCGCCACGCACTCCGCGCCCCGCGTGCCAATGATGTCAGAGCAGCCCAATCGGCTCTCGGCAAGCATCGCGGCTCCTCCTGGCGTGACCGAGCCTGGCCGTGACGGCTCCCGCCATTGGTCCGATTCGAAATTCGCCCCCTCCTGATTGGCGAGTTCGGCTGCGGGCTATTTTTAGCAGGGTATATAAAGCGGGGAAGCGGCTGCTTTTTCTGGGAGGGAGGTGTGTGCTTGTGCGGCGAGCGAGCTCCTCGTGCGGGGGAGGGGAAGCCGCCGCTCGTGGTGCTGCCGGCGCCGGGCGGGGAGGGCGCTGCGGAGCCGCTCGGGCCGTGAGGCGGCCGTTGCGCGGAGCGGGGGGTTGCGAGCGTCCGGGCGTGGGGGTGGCTTCGTGACCTGCCTCACTCTAAAGACTTTCCCTGCAGGTCTTATGAGGTGGGATCCAGGTGTATTTGCAGCCTGCGGGCAGGTCTGTTGCGCCTCGTTTTGTCTGTGAGCAGGAATAAATCCTTAGTTCTGTTGTGAGGAGACCATTGCTTGAATGAGGATCTCCAAAATACATCTCTGTGACAGGAACCTGCCCCAAGGTCCCAGGCTGCATCTCAGGCAGCGCCCTGTGAAAGTTCATCTCATTTAGCATGCACTTCCACCAAAATAGGTGTTTGTGTGTTGGTATCGGGGCAGCCACATCCTTAACACTGACCCTTATCAGTAATTTTGATCTCTTTGTACAATTAAACAAAATGCAGTTGTTAGTTTTCTGAAGGTTATGTTCAGCAGGAGGAACAAACGCTGCCAATGAGCTTCTTTAATAAAAAGGCATCTCATTTTCCAGCGATGTTTCCATCTCTTCTTCTTTCCACTTTCCCACTTTTCCCTGTTGCTAGTTACCTACAAATGGTAACTTCATGTTTGGTTCGTCTGCCCACTGTCATCTGAGAATTTGTGGTGTTGAAGTCAAAACATCAGAGCTGAGCTTTCTGCTCCCCAGCCTCTTACACCCCATTAATACCACTATTTTGTAAGCACACAACTTCTGCTCTTGTTTGGGTTTTTCTCTGTCTATGGAGGAAAAAAAAGCCTGAAGTCAATAACAGCATTATTGTAGGGTCACAAAAACAAACGGATGCTGAAGATCCAGAACTCAAATCCGGAGAACTGAGCTCGCTTAGTAAATAATTTTTTTTTACTTGGCTTCACACGGTCAATCACATGAATATATTTCCAAAATTGCCTTGCTAACCCCAGATAGTCCAGAAAGTTTGGTCAGTTTTCTGACCAAAACCATATCCTCCAAAGAAATGTACAGGAAGAAACAAACCACCACCAATAATAATAATAATAAACCTTCTTAAGAAAGAGAATTATGCACCTAATTTGAGCATACTCCTAGCTGTGTGAAGTGTTTTGTGGCCTGGGCTGCAATGTGTCTTTTAGTCATATATGACTCAGTAATGCATCTCTGGAAATCCTCAGTGTTTGTACAACTGACCCGTTCCCTCTTTGGGTAAGTTTTTAGTTTCAGACAAAGGGACAGTGAATGCCTACTATTTATTTATTTGTTTATTTTAAGCTCACCTGTTTTTAGCTGTGCTTCATGTGCCAGAGGTCTGGGCTCCTTGCGGGCTGGGTGAGGTTTACATGGTGGAGTTTGAAGCATATGGGCTTCAATCCCAAGTATGAAAGAATAGGCAAGACTGTAGCATGAACTAATTTGGTGTTCTTACTCAGTGTATTCTTATCGGGAATTAAAATGAAATAGTGAGTCAATAAAATGCTGATGTTTGGGAGACACTTCCATGGAATTAAGCTGAAGGGAGAGGTGCCAACAGCGGCCAGTCTGACTGAAAGGATGGAGTGCGAATTAAAGGGAATTTATTGCAATCTGTGGAGGATATTAAATATGAGGAAATTTTAATAGGACTCAAAATGAAAGAAAATGAATTAAAAATACAGTTTGATCTTAATGACTTTCTTTAACCTATACATAGCAGTAAAGTTTCAGATATCAATTTTATATTACTGGCATTGTTTTGAATCATGAGCCAGGGTAGAATTTACCTTGAAAACTTTAAATGAAAATATATTCTAAGTAAAAGGAAAGAAAAAAAAAGAAAACAGTCAGTCCCTTGGGACCACAGCACTTTATTTAGATGTGCCAAGCAGGGACAGTGGCATCTTGATTTAGAGCCGAGGGCTGTTCATTGACAGTAGTGGTGAAGGGTGTCGAAGCATGTGTACAGAACAGGCAGTGCTAATGGGCAGGGAAGGAATACAGCTATTTAGCTCCTTGGATAGATTTCTTGTGACTGCTTTACAGCTGAATCAGGATGTGTGCCCCTGATTATGTGGAGGTAGTCACAGACTTACTTTCCGTAAGTGTGTTTTTAACTCTGTATGATCTGTCATCTATAAAAATAGCAAAAAAATGAGTATGTATTATATAGGATTAGTCCAAATGCCAGTGCTCTGCTTGGAGAGTTGCACAGTGGCTTTTAAGTAAGACTGTCCAACAGCTAGTGTAATCAGCCAACTTATCCCTCTAAGGTCATTGATTTATGAATAGGTGTAGGAAAAGGAAGAAAGGAAGAAAAGAAGAAAGGAGGAAAGGAAAAAAGGAAGAAAGAAAGAAAACAAAAAACAACCCTGTGTGCTTTATTTTTGTTTTTGTGTTTTTGGCTCATTAATTATGATAAGGTTCTGTCTGAAAAGCTATATTACCGCATTAAATACCCCACCACTTCTCCGTAGTAACCGCTTTGCCAGGGCTGGTGGAATGTTCCTGGAAAATCTGTGAGCCGGCGTAGCAGGCGACAGACGGTGTTTTCCAGGTGGGCTGAGCTCTGCATGAGGCAGGGGGAGCACCTGTTCTGTTCTGAGAATATTCATGCATTTTAGAGGGCACATTAGCTTGCTCCGTGCTGTACTCAGCGCTGAGAGTATGAAGAGGAGGAAACCTGAAAATGCTTCATGTATGCCAGATGCAGGGAGGTTATATGGAATGGACAGAAATCAATAGCTAGTGGTTTGATTAGGATAAATGGGCTTTATTTGGGGAAAAGAGAGAGAAAGCATGTCAAGTGCGTGAAAGCATTGTCAGTTAGCAGAGAGCACTACTTAAAATGCTCTGCTTCTGAGGTGGTAAGTTGCTAAATGGAAAACTAGCATGCAATGTGATTCTAGCACAGATAAAGTAAATGCTCTTTGAGGACATATAAATAGAACTGTTATGAATAGGCAAGCAACTGGAGTGTTTCCTGATCTGTCACCCTGGCAGAAGCAAAATTAGAGAATTACATTGCAGACCACAAGCTAGTATAAGGCAGTGATAGTTAAAATAATTAAAAAGAAATCATCACAATAACACAATAAGTAAACATTTTAGTAAACATAACCAGAACTTGTTCAGCAGATACAGTAATATGTTAGGCTAGATGAGTTGTTTCACTACAAATACTGGTAAAGAATTAACTAGAATGGAGGAGAAAAAATGTCGTTAGCTAATATGAACAGAAGGTGAACCAATGACCCACAACTAAGTAAAAAATCAAAGAGAAGTGGTTATGCTATTTTTACTTTGTTTTGTTTTTCTTCTTTTTTCTTTTCACTCCTCATACCCAAAGCTATGTTCTGTCTGTTGTTCACCTGCTACACAGTCTTGGAGTTCATTCCTTTAAACTCCGCTTATTTTATACTTATTTCATACTTATTTTATACATACCTAGATGTGCATAAACTGTTGCTGAGAACATAATACTGGGAATTGGTATGTGAGCTCCATTAGCACCTAGAAGCATTATTAGAATGAGCGATGACGACATACAGTCCTTTTTCAGGCATATGTATTGCAGCACATCTTCCTCAAGTCTGTGTAACTTCACCTTGAAGGCAGGTACATTTTCTGCTCCCATGGCAGGCACTGGAACAAAATTCTGTCAGTGCTGTAATTACTAGTGACAGTCCTTAATTCCAGGACTATTCTCAACCAAGTTATTAGACCTATTTCCTCACATGCCAGTGCTGTCTTTCTGTTTTAAATAGTTCTTTTTTTTTTTTTTCTTTTTTTTTTCTCCCTGATGCATAGATACTGAACCTATTTATCAAGAAAACATAACTGCTTTCATTTTTTTTTTCCTAGGTGACAAGAATTAGCAAAGTGTCAGACTGTATTTCTACAAAATCCTCAGCTGAGCAGTTCACTCAGTAGTACACAACTGTATTATTGTAAGTTGTAAGTTCAATTGAAAAAGATGTTTTGTAGTTTGTAATATAGCAGATATCACTTATGTGTCTTAAGTATTTAAAAGCTCTAGTACTATACAGGATAAATTAAAACTCCAAAAATGTTAGCGCTGTTTGTGGTGTCTGAACAGCTGTAGCAGCTGTCTGTAAAATCTTTGGAGTTTTATAAGAGATGAATTTCTAATCTGAAATACAAATATAAAGTAATAGGAAATGAATGAAAAGGGAAAAGAAAAGCACACTTTCTTTACAAAGCATTTTTAGAAAAGATGTAGATTTTAGGGTAAGCACCCTCATAAGAAGTAATGAACACAACAACTGAGACTTGGCTGATGCCAAGTTACTGGCTGCTTTCAGAAAGTTACTGAATACTCCTTGAGGTGGAAGAGCAGAAACTGCTATGATTAGTGGTGAAAAAGCAGTTTGAGCTGGGGAAATAAATAGTGTTGCTGGGCATTTTGTTATTTTCTTATGGCCAATTCTTCCTTTTTTTTTTTTTGTTTTTTGTTTTTTCCCCCCATTGCTAATTAGTGACCATTATCTAGCAGTGCATTGTGTTGGGAAACTTAATTCAGCCAAATTTAGTAAGAAATTAGACCAGAAACCCAACATATACCAATCGTTCTGTGAAGAAGGAGAATGGAGCGCTGATGATGTTTAGGTGTTTAGCAGCACCTGGACTGTCTCCTTT